ACGTTTACGAGGTGGTTGGCCACGGACGAGGTTAACAATGCTAAATAGATCGTCAGAATCTAATTGAGCAGCTTCTAGGCAATCATCTAATTTGCCGTAGACTTCATCAGTTGCAAACAATTCTTGTTTACTAGTTAGTGAGATATCTTCATCACTTAGGTATGAGAAATCGGAACATGGTTCCGTTGAATCATCATCCTGGCCTAATCCTCAGACGGAGATTTCTCCATCCGATTGATTGAAATCGAAGTCGGCAAGAGCCTTGTCGACTGCGGCCATTTTCTTGTCCATCATGTTGAGGGACCCGACAGAGGAGTTATCCTCGTCATCAGAGTCATCCGACTTGCGCTTGGCAACATGGTTGCATTCACCTTTCTTCGTGCGATCGGCCTTGACCGCAGCGGCAGAGACTTTCTTCATAAGGACAGAAAGTTCCTTCTTGGTGTAGGACTTGGCATCGTCAGACTTACGTTTCCAAGTCTTGTTCTTGTTGTACGCTGGCTTGCTATCGTTACCAGACAAGGACTTGGACTTGAGTTTCTTCAGAGTCATGCAGTCAGCAGTATCGTGAGTGCTGGACTCATGGTAGTCACACCACTTTCCTTCGTTCTTGGAGGAGTGGTTGTTGTTGCGGCTAGACTTGTACTTCTTGCTGCTGTTCTTCTTCGAAGTAGCTTGCTTGGCATCGCTGCCTTTGTCAAAGTCTTCAGCAGATTCCATGCGCTCACAGAATCCAATGAGAGCCGTCATCTCGGCAGTGAAAGGATCGAAGTCGTGTTCGTCCATCTTGCGCATCCAGGAACGAGGAATGCCATGACAGATGATGTCAATGAATTCGTCCTGGTTCAACTGTTGATTGGCACCGAAAGGTGGCAAACGTGGAAGCTCATCGGTATTCATCCGAGTGAGGTTGTTGATGTAGGCACGAGTTGTCATCTCGCTAGGCTTGCGCATCTTACGACGCATGAAGCGTTTCTGTTTTTCGAGAGCCTTGTAAGGACAGGCTTATTCGATCACCGCGTTGATTCCAAAGGTGATGTCAGCCAGCATGGCTTAGAGCAGGTTCTGCTGCACCGTCCCATGCAGTTTGGACACGAGCTTGGAATTGGACTTCGGTTTCTCCAGAAGTCACATCGCGTGGAGCAATTGCATTCACAGCAATTTGTCGAAGGGCGTTATGACGCACGGCACGACTGCCTGCACACCCAGCTTCGTAGGCACTCTTTGCAGAGCTGGAAGTCATCTCCTTGAGAAGACGATGTTTGTCGTCGGCACCAGCAAGGTTGAGTCCAACGAAGACCTTCTCCATATTCGTGGCCCACTTGATGGTCTCACGTGGAGTGTTGGAGCCATTGATGATGGCTACCTTGAAAGTGTACTTGGCATTTGCGTCTGCAGGAATGGTGCGAAGTTTGTAGGAGGTTGCACGAGTGTCGTCGACCTCGTTGTCTTCGTCATTGTCGACGAGAGGAAGAATGGGTTTGTCACGCAACTGTTTCTCGAAGTTGCTGAACACATGCTTTCCTTGAGCAATCTTCATGGTGAAGGAATAGGTTGAGGGTAGCTGAAAGCTATTGTGTTTGTTAACAAAATGCACTACGCTAAAAGCTAGTGTAAAGATCTTTCGAGTGTTTTGAGTTTGAGAGAATGAAAGTTATGAGAGAGATTAGAAAGCTACGAAAACTAATCCATGAGAGAGATCGTTGTGAAGCTCATTGAAGTTGGTCTCCCGCGGGAGGCCTCGAAGTGTGATATCGCAGGTTATGGTAATAATTCTGCGTACTCCACGGTCCATTTCCAGAACACGTGGAAACTTCAGCTAGTAGCTGTCTAGTTGCGTGAAAGCTTTCCACGCCGGCTAAATATCTAGAGCGATGTTCCATCGACAACCTAGTATGACTAGCAGTCATGAGAACCCTGTCTCAATGACTATTCGCGAAGGACTACGTCATGAGTCGAACTCAAACCCTATCTAGGATCGAGTCGCGAATAAGGCTAAGAGCCGTGTATTGCACAAACATTGGATTGAGAATATGTGTCACCCCTTCCGACCCGCTGTTTCTGACAGCCACCTTATGATTACTATACTGATGCGACGGCAGCATCAACCATTTGAGATCATTATTACATCCAACAACGTCGATGATCCAGGTGCTGGACGTAATTCACCGATCGGTGAACGAACCTGCTTCCATTTTTCTTTTCCCTTTTCTTTTTTCCATTACCACTCCTCCTTTTCCCTTTTCTTTTTCCAATACCACTCCTCCTTCCTCCGGCCTATACAACATCAGGACCAGTTCTCCTTTCTCACCTTGAGCCAATAGTGCCAGGTGTTCAGAAAGTGAATTAAAAACAATAGCCATCGGCGCAGTAGCACAATAGAAATAAAATCGCTACTAATCACTGAGTCAAACTCAAAGTGCATGAAAATTGTCCTTGAATGCGCTCAAATCTCATTCTAAATGCAAGAATGTCTCCTGCATGGCAGAAAAGACCAATACGATGGCAATCTACAATCAATCTTGCTTGCAACAGACAGACAGGACCTAGTTTTGTATCCTGCGTGTAGATCAACAAAGATCTAACTCTGTCGCTGGCTGGATATGAATTCAACAACAACTCCGAGGCAATAACTAAGGCAAGGCATGGAATGAAAATGTTGCAACAGGAACAATCCTTTTATTCGGGAGTCGCCAATCCAAGCAGATCCGCCCTGTCACCCCTGGCTGGAGTAGCAAGGTGTCAATAGGCGACTCATGATTTGAGGTTCCCCTCGATGACTGAAGTGGTCAATAACCTGGGCAACGGCTTTGCACAGAATCACAGTCCTGCACAAGACAAGACATGTATGTGCAGATTTGTGCAGGAACGGAGTCAACGACAATCCGCACTTCGAAATGAGATCTCTGGGACCACTTCAGCTTTGAAAAGAGAATCGCTATCTGCCCCCCAACTTCCCGCGAGCTCTGCTAACTTTCCATGCCAAGTGTTCCTGCACTTGGTGGGGTTGGAATGGAGAAAAGCCTTCAGATAGGTCGTCCTTCCGAAAGTTGCAGCCAAAGGAGTCTTTGTTCAAGGAACCTTTGTTTGGCTGTACTAGTAGTGAACTGAGACCATTATCAATGCGGACACCATTCTGAACCATCCAAAGCATGCTAGTAGTACATGTACAGTACCGGTATGACCACTGGAAGCTCTGGCTAGCTAGGGTATCTGGAGACTGGCAGAAGGGATTTTTGGTGGCAGCATCCACGACATATAGTATCCAGCTAGTGCTAGCCCTGTATAACCATGGTCGAATCGAATCGATGTGTGTCCAACAGAATGATTCAATCCATCTCAGACGCAGTGAACTGCAGCCAAGAGCACTCAGTGCCACATTGTAGGAGCCGTGTGGTGCTTCTCGGATCCACCAGGAGCGTTTCAGCTGCAAGATACATGTAATAATATAAGATATCTGCTATCTGCTGGCTGGACCTGGTACCGGTACATGGTACATGTAGCTGGTACATCGTAATAGCCTCAGAGCTCAGACCTGCGAACCTGCATAATAATAACAGAACCTGCTGTTTGCTGGAATCCAGACGTCCAGCAACGTCCAGCAACCTTAACCTTAATAGGTGTGGCTATTTTTAACCGTTATTCAGACGCTGAGAAAGCCGATCCGGTCGTGGTAATGTTGCACAGATTGAGCATACGACTGTAAAGCGCAAGCATGGCCGAGAGCGCAACAATCAAGTTGCCACTGTTGGTTGTGGGTCAACACAATGGGTGGCGATGTGGCGATGGAGTGAGGTTGCTGTGTAGGATTCGCATTACTGGTATAAAGAACGCGCTGCAGTAGCTAAATAGTTCGACGAGGTACTAATTAGGCTTTTTATAAGAACGATGGCCAGACCACAGAATGCGAAGAATCTTCGGAAGCACGATCGAATCGAATGGCCAACAGAGGCGCTCCATAACGGCATTCTAGCTAGCTAGTTATTAGCTAGCTAGTTAGCTAGCTAGCAAGGCTCTAGAGTGATCTTTTGTTACTGGACCGTTCGACGGTTTTCGCTCAGGCTTTAAAAACGGCCACGACTGACTAATGTCCTGGTTCTGGATAAGGGGATGTTAAGGGGTGTACAGATTTAAGGGGATGTTTAAGGGGATGTTGAGTATTTAAGGGGATGTTTGTGTGTGATAAGGGGGTGTTGTATGGCGTTTCAATGAAGGCTTAGGGGGTTGTTTCGAGGATATAAGGGGATGTTGTTAAGGGGTTGTTTTTAAGGGGTTGTTTAAGGGGATGTTGAAGATTTAGGGGGTTGTTAAGGGGATGTTTAAGGGGATGTTTTAAACGATCCTCAGTCGTGGCAATTTCAAGCTTTTTTAACCTCGGCAGTCTATCTGCCTGAGCCCTCACCCCCTTTTTTGTTATTTCCTATTTCCTATTTCCTCTTTCCTATTTCCTGTTCCGGTGAAGCCAAAATATAGGGATAGAGATAGGCATAAGCCAACAAAACTGGAAATTGAAGGTTCTACAAATTTAGGGGTAGGAATAAATCATGATTATTCAAGGTTAGTGCACTTAACACAATAAGTCAGCAGAAACAGGTACATACAGGACTGACAGCTGTAAAATTATGGTTAGCGGGCGGCAACACACGACGAAGTCGGGTGTTGTCTGTGTCACCAGGGCTAGCTCAAATTAAAAAGAAGGGTATAATGAGGGAATGATACCGGGCGGCAACACATGACGAAGTCGGGTGTTGTCGCTAGGGCTACCTTGAAAGAAGAGTGCAATCTCAAACAGATCCTCTTTCTTCTATTTGTCTTTCTGCCAAGGTATCGCAGCTCCCGCTGACTTAAATCCTGAGTTTAAACCGTCGGACGGTCCAGAACTGCTCTTGGAATTTTGCTGCTGCACTTTTGCTCGTCCTGCACCAAAAAGCTTTGCTTCCTCTTGTGTCACCAAGTCGCCGTTGCTTGCAGGATCGGAGCCGTCGGGAACGACGCACGCCATGGCAAGGCCAACTGCTGGCAAATATCGAGGAGCGGCTGTAGCCGCACGGAACAACAATAATAACACAACTGTTGGCTACGGCGGCCAGAAAGGGGGGGCCGTGAACGATGACGGTGCTCACCACGACCCGGCTCTCGATATCGTTGAAAGCCACAAGATGGAGGCCGAGAAGTGGCTTGGCGAAGAGCAGAAGAGATCAAATTTATCCTATCTGAAGGAGGGCCATCAGTACGCTCCGTGGAACTGCTCCAAAAAGGACGGCACCATACCGATTGCGCATCTCGAGAGCGCGCTCAAGGAATACAAGCGGCGATTCAGTGATGGTTCAAATCAAGCAAATACTGCGACACCTGCGGTGTTGCTCGTTGCGACTGGTGTAAGCAAAGAATGGATGCCGGGTGAAGAAGTTGGAAAGACGCGTTTCTTGCTCTTTCCCAAACTTGGTGCTGCCAAGACATCGGCTCTGTTCATAACGTATATGCCCGGTCCTGAGCATGGAGCTGTTGACTCCTGGTTTGTTGCTATGCTGAGTGTCTGGCATACTACAAACGAGTCTTTGCGGAGGTATTTGTCCTATGGAGGTCTCAGCACCGGAGGATACGGTTGCTTCCAGCCAGATAAACGTGTTTTTCCTTTCAAGGAGAACCGAGATCACAACGGCCGAGACGCAGACAGTGCAAACAAGAATAATCCATACTCGCGGTTCATTTGGGAGATTGAGTACGACAATAGAGACCCAGTCCAGATCAGGGAGCGTGGACGGGCCTACATGACACCCAATTATGTTCGGTTGTTTCTGGCCATGAAGTTATACCCACCTTCGCGTGGTGGGACGTACGAAGCTGCCGCTGTGCTCTGGGGAAAGGCAGACGAAGACAGCGATACGATCACTGTCATGAAAGCAGTTAGTTTTGGCACTCAAGATCTCTCAGACGACCACAAGCAGGATTTCTTCCAGCAAAGGGCCGATCGGCTTGTCAGTGTCGATGTGAACCGCTGGGAAAACGCACCGAACAATGAGGCAGCATGGTCGATCACTTTGCCTTTACGTGGATTTTTGTTCAAGGTGAGCAAGGGGGCACCAGGAGAAAACGGAACCACCGAATACGTTCTAGACGATCTAGAGGTTGGCGCCGTCGAAGACTTTGTCATTGACCTTGGGAGAGCGGCGAGAGAATATGAAAATCAGGTACTGGAATAGAGCTTGGAGAGGGAGATGCTTCAAATATGCTTGCTACTTACTATCTAGCTAGTTTAGGTGTTATAGCACAAATTCATTTATTTGTCGTCACAACTGAAACAAGAACCGACTGTTCGAGATGCAATTTATCTGGCCATTGATGATTATGTCTATGGACCTCTTCCTCACAGTTGGGCCATCGCTTGAAATTGCCGCTGGAACACTTAAGGTGGCGCGAAACTGCTAATATTTTCTATTTATTTATTTATTTATTTATTTCAACTAGCGCTATCGAGTGAAGTCAACGATCCACATCATGCTGCTAAAGGGGTGCTGGAATTGCTGTTGAGCCCATCAATCCGACTGTTATGCATGCAAGAGCTCTTGCTAATAGTATTGCCGAGAGGTATACGGTGAGCTTTGTCGTATATTGGATCGGCCTGTTATCCTTCTGTTGCGATGCAGAAGCTGTCGGCCGAAATCGTCGGTCACTGCAAGCCGACCTTAGATCTTGACTGCTGCTGGTAGTATGGCCCTGCAACCAAGGACTACTCTCTTCCTTAAAGTATAAGGAAGAGATAATGCTTTGGTTGCAGGGCCATACTACCAGCAGCAACTGAGATAATGAGGTCTCCAACAGTGCGCGTGGCTGATCGACTGTTGTTGTTGTTCTTCCTGTTTCGGTTTTCGAAAGGGAATCCTCTTTTTCAATCATTTTGAACTCCAATATTGGCTGAAACGTGTTTTTCTACTGATTTACTATAGGGTGACTCGCTGGATTCACCGGAAACTGAAATAATGAGTCTTATATATGGTCAATTCGCTGTTATACAATGGTCGACCGGCGTGCGAGTACTCGTTGGGTACCTGTTTCGTCGATATTACTTAGAGGGCTTCTCATGTAATTTTGGCTTGAACAAATCTGAGAGGAATCCGCCCAGTAGAGAACCTTCAAGATTCCATATTCCCTAATTTATACAAAACATTGGTGCGAAACATATCAGAGTACGTGCGCAGACTTGAGCTGGCTTATCAAGGTTGGGCGTCCACCTTAAGTCGGCAAAAGGAGTCTGGATCGGGCTCTGGCACACGTGACAATCCCATTGTTGTCTTCTAATTTAAGTACCTTGGCAGAAAGAAGAAGGATGGCATGTTTGAGATTGCACTCTTCTTTCAAGCTAGCCCTGGCGACAACACCCGACTTCGTTGTGTGCCGCCCGGTATCATTCCCTCATTGTAACATCATTTTTTATTTAAGCTAGCCCTGGCAACAACACCCGACTTCGTCGTGTGTTGCCGCCCGCAAACCATAATTTTACAGCTGTCACTCCCGTATGTACCTGTAACTTTTGTAGCTTCTGCTGGCTTATTGTGTTGAGTGCACTAACCTTGAATGATCATAATTTATTCCTACCCCAAAATTTGTAGATCCTTCAAGTTCCAGTTTTGTTGGCTTACGACTATCTCTATCCCTATATTTTGGCTTCACCGGAATAGGAAATAGGAAATAGGAAATACCAAAAAAGGGGTAGAGGGCTCAGGCAGATAGACTGCCGAGGTAAAAGGGGTAGAGGGTCGGGCAGATAGACTGCTGAGGTAAAGGGGGTGAGGGCTCAGGCAGATAGACTGCCGAGGTTAGCTACTAGTTTAGATCCTATTTATTTACTCTCCGCAGTTACGTTTTTTATGGATCATTATCTGTCTCATAAAATGAATGAAGCATTTTAAATAAAAGAAAGATGAATAAACTGTTAGAAGCGAGTTTGAACGGTATGGAAGAGGCCATCGTACCAAAGCACACCAAGAAAACAAGCGAAGAGGAGACAACGTTCGTTAGACTGGAGAAGAAGAAGGATAATGAGGAGAGCGGAGAAGAAGAGGGAGAGGAGGAAGAGGAAGAGGATGCACCAAAACAGGAGGCGCCGATGAAACCTGAGACACCAGAAGACGAACCCGAGCCCGATTGGAGCTACTACAGACACCAGTGGGGGCCGCAACACCGAGATTGGAGTTACTATCCACCATCACCACCACCAGGGTACGGACGGCCTTACGGATACCCGCATTATTATAATGGGGGAGATCAGAGACCTCCTTACTATGAAAGACGTCACTGGCACTGGAATTAAGTTAGTTACTAGTTATCAGATAAACTCAGCCTCTTGTGAAGAGGCAGGGGATGGCGGAAACAGCGGCGGAGGAGTCTCCGGAAATTCGGTAGGAGACTTGGTCTTCTTGACCGCTTTCGGTTTCCTCTTAGTCATTCTCTTTGTTTGCAATAGATCAGCATCCGCCTTTGATAGTTCCAAAGTATCGTCTAGTTTCAGCTCCTGGTCTAGGGCTTCTCTGTTGCCGTCAACACTGTTGACTTTGATGCAGTCATAATCCAACAAAACTGTTGGATCGACATCGTTGGACACATCAACTCCAAGGACAACTTCACCTGTCTTCCGATTAAGTGCTGCATACCCCCGACGGACCTTAACATTGGACACCTGCAGCTGCCTTCCAAACTCACTCGGAGTAGCGGAGGCAAGAAGGGGTTTCACGAAAATCCATTCAGATACAACAAAGGAGATTGATGCAATGGTCGAAATTAAACAAGAAATAAGGGGGTTTGACACAGACCATCACAATTTCATGCCGACTTCCTCATCTGTGTGTCTCTGGGAATTATCATGTTCATCCTGCCAGGCTCTGAACATTTCTGCAGTCTCACCGGATAAATTTTTAACGCGTCTGGCAACTTCCAACTCATAATCTGTTGGCTGGTAAACCTTCCCTTGGGCACACGCTTTACATACGAGGGTTGGAAGTGTCTCAATAGCATCGAAATATTTTTGGACCGCATCGTCAGAGCTGTAGTGCGGACCGGAACCATTTTCAAGGTTGTTGCATGAACTGGTTGTATCGGTATCCGATTCTGATTCTGCATCGGATGACGCTGACGAAGGGCGCCTCGGAACTAGAGTTGTGTGCCGGGTTTTACCTTCCCAATTGGTCGAGTGTTTTGGCCCAACAGTGCAACGGACACCGTCCTTTTCCGTTATCATAACTCTAGCTAGCTTCGTTGATATAAGCTTGCACGAGGATTGGATACTCAGAGCATATATCCCGAAACATTTCAAGTAATTCATTTAACTGATGACCTTTGCGGATGGCTTTCTTCACTTCAGATATAACCGCACGAAACCTGGCTTGGGTTGACGTTTCACCTGCTTCCCAGAATTCAACGTTCATTTGAACATCTATAAGCACATGCGGTTTGAATGAGAATCAAGTTCCTCGTTGATCTCGTCGGCTAAGACTTCAAAGGTATTGCGAATCTTGTTGAAGAGTTTCGACCATTGCTTCGAGACAACGCTGTTGGAATCACCAGACTTCTTCGTCCTTAACGCCGCCTTGGAGAAAAGTGGAAGGACGTACTCATGAGAGCAACCGTTCACCACGAGTAGATGGATGAGGCTAAAATAAAAATCATCAAAGACATCTTCGCGCATCGGGTAGATGGGAAGGGTTTGATATGGACCACTTTTTTGGCGTTGAAGGTTGACAGCGAATGTGCGGTACCTGTAGACCAACTCGTTGATTTCCACGGTTATTGCACCATCCGATTTGATCAACGCAACTTCGCTTCCACGTCCCGAACAATGGTAGCTGGTGTTCAACAAATGCCAGAACTCGGCAATCTCTGGTGTTCCGATCCAGATGCACGCAGTTGCCGTGGCCTCACGATCTTGACGGGTACTCGACACTTCTTCGGTCTTGGTGGGTTGGCCTTCACCTTGTTGGAGGAAATATACCTGACACCTCTTTACTATTGACTCGTGTATTAATCATCTAGTCCGGTTCGCATGCAAATTCATGATGCAAGGAACCAAGGGAGTTTTAGGTCTAAAGTGTTGCGGGGGTCCTTATATCCAATTCAATCACAAGAATTGCTATGCACCACCAGAAAATCCTCACTTTTGCTTTTCAGCTTAATCTAAAACCAAATTACTCCCCAATAAGCTGCAGTATTACTAGCAAACAACACTGAAAAGCAAAAGGCCATCTCGAGTTACTACTACTACCGATCTCGAGATTGATATCAAGGTAACCAAGTCAAAGTGTATTGAGTTAACTACTGCAACAGAGAAGAGGTGCAGAAATACAGTGTGCAGCAGCACTATCTGCATAGACAAACAGGTCTAACAGGAGAATTCCCATTTCCGCGCGACTGACACGGTACGTCGAAGATCGATCCACAGTTTCCGGCCGGAACTGCGTTGATCTGAAGATACCAGTGCAAAGAGTACGTTAATCCACACTGATTCAATAGCGGAAATGAAGGAATCAAGCTGTTATCCAGCGAGTTGTCGCGCGATTACGTCATCAGGCGTTTGACACTTCAAATCGCTCGAGCAAGAGGCCATCTACGATGATCAAGATACTGTTTGAACCATCAGAGATAGGTAAAGACACTCATACAGAGGAAGTTGCGGCACACAACAAGGGTACTCTGAGTATCCGTGCAAGCTTCTAACTCCAGATATTGAGTGAGATAAGTCTAATCGTGTCATCGGTGCCTGTGAGCTTTGAGAGTTCAAATCCCGGTAACGTTTCTGATAACTTGAAGGACCAAATCTTCACGAGATAACTGTTCCCGCCATTGAAACTCACACCGTGTACTCATCTAAGTATACGAAGGCCATCTGCAGAAGAACAGAGGCAACGAAAGGACCGACAGAGGCAGTTCGCTACTACCCAAGGTTCCACACAAGAAACACCACGTTTTACGTGAGCTGTCAAAGACAGAGGCTATTCAGCCAGTACACCAAGAGTGCACGAAAAGAAGGCTATCCAGCCACCAAGCAAGCTTTTTCACAAAGCAGTGACTCATACAAGAGTCCACCGTGAGGTCCTTCCTGCAGGAGTACCCACACAAGCACAGTTCCACGAGAACAAGCTAGTTCCAAGGAACAAGCACAGCACAAGAGTGCATTACCACACCAACGGCAACCATGAGATTCCAAGGAAGAGGTGGTCGTGGTGGAGGAAGATACCCTTCTAGGGGGGGGGGTAGGGGATTCAATTCCTCAGGAAGAAGCCATCAAGGAAGAGGCAACAGCTACAGGAACCAGAACAAGAGTCCTAAGCGTCAGTTCCTCTTCCATCCAAATGGACAGGCTGACACCAGGTATTATCCTTTTGAAGAGACCCTGACCAACATTGTACAGGACCTAAGGATCAAGCCTGAATGGAATGATGTGCCCTTGGCTTCATTGGTGTTGTTTGCTAGTAATACTGCAGCTTATTGGGGAGTAATTTGGTTTTAGATTAAGCTGAAAAGCAAAAGTGAGGATTTTCTGGTGGTGCATAGCAATTCTTGTGATTGAATTAGATATAAGGACCCCCGCAACACTTTAGACCTAAAACTCCCTTGGTTCCTTGCATCATGAATTTGTATGCGAACCGGACTAGATGATTAATACATGAGTCAATAGTAAAGAGGTGTCAGGTATATTTCCTCCAACACACTCCTGCACGGTGCCCTAAGTGGCTACCGTGGAACGAATAAATAAATTAGGAATCAAACAAGGGGTGGATGCCCCATGATGAAAGCCCTGTGCTCATGGAAGAGCTTGCCCTGAAGGGGCTTCGTGAAAAAGTCTCCACGCATCTCCAATGTTGGGCAGTACACAACTCTGAGGTTTCCTTTTCCAATCTGATCATGAATGAAAAAGAAACTAATATTGATGGCCCGAGTCCTTTTGCCCGAACTGCCTTTGCCATTCTCTGCAAGGATGATCGTGCTTTTGTTGTCCTGCATGAGGATGTTGTCCTTCACAACGATCCCCTGCTCTTCTAGGAACAACTTTGCCCACAACATGGGCGACATGACATCGTCAGCTCCAATCAATTCCGCTTCCGTGCTGCTCCTCGAATTCAATTTCTGTTTCGCAGACACAGACAGCACTGCGCCACTTCCAAAGGACATGACTCCTCCTGTATGTGAACGGTAATCAGGATGGACTGCAAATGATGCATCCACCCACCAAGTGATGATGCGTATGTCATCAATGTGTAGGATCAACTTGTCCTGCGCCGTCTGATCCAAAAACTTGAGGCCTTGGATCCTGAATGACAAAAACAGGGAAACCTATCATACCTTTGCAGCCAAGCTGTTTTCCTGTGCAAGCGTGCTCGACCAGATGTGCAGACTTCACTACTGTGTTATGCACTCGTGTCAGAAGCCCAACATCTGATGATTGGGACAAGTTGG